TATATATAGGTCGATATAATATAGTAGTTGATTACAAACGTATTTCGGTCATACATCTTTGTATTGGGTGAGATAGTAGGGGTGAGATATATAGTAGGCACATTGGTATTTGTGGTTGGTGATGGTGGTATGTGTTTATCGTGTGCTCTGGTGCCTGTGTTGTTTACTTTGTTGTTTACTTACTGCGTTTCTCTCTCTCGCTCTGTCCTGTAGGTGTGTGCGACTAGCTTTGGAGACATCTGCGCCGTCGTCAGCCAGGAGTCGACCGAGGAGTATCTGGTAGGTGGCGCTAGCGTCCACACGCGAGACGACGGCGAGGTGGCGGCGGCAGGCGAGAGCCGTGTGTCGTGCGTGCAGGGGTGAGGGGATGAGGTGGGGTGGAAGAGAAGGGGGGGAGGGTGCGCTCCTGCAGCAGCCGGCTGAAAGGTGCGATAGGATATGTTTATTAGGCACTTCTAATTTTAACATATATTTTAAATTTAATTAGGGTTAGGGTTAGGGTTAGGGCACTTTTTAGGGTTTTTGCATCATTCTTTAATATATCGTAAAATATATGTTAAAATTAGAAGTGCCTAGTAAACATATCCTATCGCACCTTTCAGCCGGCTGCGCTCCTGCATGCGGTAATGTGCTGCGAATAAAATGAATCTACGGACGTAAACTGCAGCGGCGCATAACGCATGCGTTGTGCAATAGCGTGTGGTGGGCGGGGCTACGGCGGGGGTGGGGCGTGACGTAGCGTTGACGCGCTGTGGGTGGGGCAGGCTCCGGCCGCGGCATGCCAATCTACGCCGGGTTCCTCCTCCCGTCACATCGCGTGCAGTGTTGCCAGCGAAGCAAATGGTGGCGCCATCTGTGGCAGCAAATCTCAAATTCCACACGTCACTTTACATTCTTAACGGTTTCATTGTTGGTGTTCATCATTTGGCTTAAAGGAATTATGTCATAAATAAATACACAATTTGAAAAAAAAATAGCGAAATATAGTCGTCATTTAGATTATTAATACCAGTAAGTATTGTAATGGTTAGTAAATATACGAGAACGGTCGGGGAGACTGTTCGAAATCGTTACTTTAAAGGGCCCGAAGTTTATGTTCATATTTGAGATGGAGCTTTATGGTAATTTAAAACTTGCTAACTAAAACAAAGTAATATCGTTCTGCAAATAAAGGAATGCATATTGCTTACAATGCGTGCGTGTACAGTAGTGATGTCACGATCATCGGTTGAACAGTGGCTCGAACCAAGCGCTTGGTTATCGAAATCCATAATCGATTTCATCGAAATAAATGGCAAACTATAAATGTATGTTTACTACTATACAAGTTATCCTTTATTAACATACATGTATTATACACACAGTAGTAAACAGTGCAAAACAAACAGTAAACAAGGCTAAACAAGCACATACATGCACACACCTACATGTACACGACATTACGCACACGCAGGCATTCAACACCGATTGTAACCGATCATCGGTTACTTGGGTCCATCCGATGATCGATTACGAAATGACAACCGATTGACAACACTAGTGTACAGTGGAACCCTGGACCCCTGTACTGTTGTTTTATGCGGTATTTTCTTCGCTACACATTTGTTCACCTGCGTGTTTAGCGTGATCTTTGCAACGCGTTGTCTAGCAAGCATTTTCTAACGAGCATTGTCTAACGAGCGTTTTCTAACGAGCGTTGTCTAACGAGCGTTTTCTAACGAGCGTTTGTCTAACGAGCGTTTTCTAACGAGCATTGTCTAACGAGCGTTTTCTAACGAGCGTTGTCTAACGAGCGTTTTCTAACGAGCGTTGTCTAACGAGCATTTTCTAACGAGCGTTGTCTAACGAGCGTTTTCTCTTTGCATTGTGTAGTTGCAGAAGTTCTACTACCTGTGTGAGGACGGCGTGTGGGGCGTGCGCAAGGCGTGCGCTGAGTGCTTCATGCAGGTGTCGTGCGCCGTGTCGCCGTCCATACGCAGACGCGATCTCGCTCCTCTCTTCATCAGCCTCATCTGTGACCAGTCGCGATGGGTGAGTCATGCTCGCACTACTGCTGCTTGTGGTGCTTGTGGTGGTGGTGGTGGCGGCGGCGGCGCTGCTGGTGCTGCTGCTGCTTGTGGTGGTGCTGCTGCTGCTGATGCTACTGCTGCTGCTTGCGTTGGTGGTGCTGCTGCTGCTGATGTTACTGCTGGTGCTTGTGGTGGTGCTGCTGCTGCTGATGTTACTGCTGCTGCTACTGCTTGTGCTGGTGGTGGTGGTGGTGGTGCTGCTGCTGCTGCTACTACTGCTTGTGGTGGTGGTGGTGCTGCTGCTGTTACTGCTGCTGCTGCTACTACTGTTTGTGGTGGTGCTGCTGCTGCTGCTGCTGTTCTTACTGCTGCTGATGTTACTGCTGCTGCTACTGCTGCTACTGCTGCTGTTACTGCTGCTACTGCTGTTTGAATTTGCTCATCTCTCACCAGATTAGTGCAGATTTGATCTGACCTGATTTGTATAAAATTTGTGTGTGCAGATATCACCAAATTACAAAGAAAGTCTGTTAAACGTTACACACGAGGCCCTAAGAAAGGTGGATGCTGATGTTGGTAGTGATGACGATGACGATGACAATGACGGTCACGGTGACAGTAATGATGATGATGTTGATGACGATTATGCTGATGATGGTGGTAATGATGATGACGATGATGATGATGATGATGATGATGATGACGATGATGATGATGATGATGATGATGGGTAAGATTGTAATAATGGTATATATATATATAATATGAGACCAGCTAACCTGTGCTTGACTCTCCCCTTCCCTTCCCCCGTCAGGTACGCATGGCAGCATTTCAAGCTCTAGGCCCGTTCATCTCGACATTTGCCGATCCTGCCTCTACGGGGCTCATATATTACGAGGACACGGGCCACCTGGCTGAACACAAGTAGGTTCTACTCGTTACCGTGCATGCGTGCGTGCGTGAGTGAGTGTATGTGAGTGCATGCGTGCGTGCGTGTATGTGTGTATGTACGTG